TTTCCGGATGTTGAGGAGTTAAACCGTCAATTCGCAAATGCTACAGTACAGAACTCAACATCATCTTTATTTACATCTACTGGGGAGAAGCAATCTGTCACCCTTGTGGAAGTCCTGAATATACTTAAGACCCATAAATCTTACAAGGCACATGGCCCTGATTCGTTGTTCCCCTTCCTACTGGAAGAGTGTACTGAACAACTTGCTTCACCTGTTTCTGAGTTGTTCAATTTGTGTATGTCATCGGGTAGCATCCCTGATTGTTGGAGAGCTGCTCGGATAACCCCAATTCCCCAAAAGGGATCTTCCAAATATCGACCGATTGCCTGCACATCAGCATTATTGAAAGCTTTTGAAAGAGTCCTTCTTAACAGGCTGACCCTTTTATCTGTCACCCATGAACCTATTCAGTTTGCTTACAAACATTCGCTTTCCACTCTTCATGCTGTTGCTCACGTTGTTCATTCCGTTTCATCCTTATTGGATAAAGGGGCTGGCATCATCCGTTTAACTTTTCTTGATTATGCAAATGCTTTCGGATCAATTGACCGCGGTATTCTCATTCAATGTCTTTCGGTCTGTGGTCTAGCACCTAATTTATTGAATGTACTAATTAATTACTTCACTCATCGGACGCAATACACTTTTTGTAACGGTAAATCGTCCTCCTTGCTAGAAGTTAACTCTGGAGTTTTTCAGGGTGCAATTTTGTCTCCATTTCTTTTTTCACTGTATAATAAGGACCTTCCCATCCCTTCCAACTTTATCGCCTGCAAGTACGCTGATGACGTGGTGGTCGGCTGTCCCTCAGCTGCTCCTGATTGTTTCTCTCAACTTCAAGTTTGTCTCAATAACATTTTTAGTTGGTCGACTCCCCGATCTTTATTGCTAAATGTAGATAAATGTGTGGATGTTTCTTTTAGCCTTAACACAGGCATGCCTTAGCAAACCCTTTTGAACAATCAGCCTGAATATTCTGTTGATGGTAATACCATCCCCAAAGCTAACTCTTTGAAATATCTTGGAGTTACTTTGTCACGCAATCTTTCTTGGTCCAAGCATGTTGAAAACATTTGTATTCGGGTTCGTAAGCTATCTTTCTACGCTTTTAGGCTTAAAAAGCTCGGCGTTCCCTCAAATGTCATTCTTAAATTTGTAACTGTTTGCATTCTTCCACATTGGTCGTACTCTTCCCCCGTCTGAAGGAGAAAGACTTTATTCTCTTTTCCAGATCTCTTAAACTTCTTTCTCGTTGCAGCGGCATTTCAAAGACCGTTTTGGTTGACTTTATTGTGAGCAAGCATTTTGACTCATGCGATCGATTTATCAGCCATATCCTGTCCAACGAAGAACATTGCCTGCACTCCCATCTCAATAAATCGGTCTCTCATCCGAGTACCCGTTCCCAATTTTGGATTCTTTATGCACGCACCACCACACATAAAAACAACATGATCCCTTATTTTGCTCGCATCTTGATCAACCGAGCAAATATTATTGCTGACTTGAACAATCATCTCTCACATTAGGATTTTACGTAAACCCGTCAGTTTGTCATTTATTAAATGTATATGTCTTCTTTTTCCAATACTTACCGTTTTTTCCTACTGTAACCTGTCGAAAATGCTGAAAAGTCATCCTATCGGATGCATAAAGCTTTAATTGACTTGAATTAACTCATATTTTTGTACGTTTCACAACTCACTTTTTCTCCTGTTTTTAGCAGAATCGTAACGGTGGTCTGTTTTTTGGCTGAGAGCTTGTGTATAACTCGCTAAAGCTTGAATACAATACAATACAATACAATAAGCCTCGTCGCAAAGTTCGGTGATTTTGTTCAACCAACACCTTCAATAAAATGAAACACAGACAGACAAATCCGAACATTGTTCTGATCCAATAGAGGCTTATGATGTGCATGTCACCATCATCATCATCATCATCATCATCATCATCATCATCATCATCGTACAGAATGGTTAGATCTTCGGCGTGACAAAAGCCATCCTGTGTAGCCAGTTGGGTCAGATAAGTGCGTAAACCATCACATCACGTCAAAGTGCAGTCTCGTTGTGATGTGCATGTCGAACATGAATCCGTGACAAACATGGGTGACCTGATACATTTTCACCTCAACAATCTCACGGGGTCCTAACTAAGCATATGACTATCCTACGTGCTTGGATGTGGAGCTGTGGCTTCAGATGCATAATGAGAGATATTTGTGTGTGTGTGTGTGTTCGAATACCACCACCACCACCACCACCGCGACAGCAACAGCTCTTCGATTGATCACTACTCCCCCTTCCCCCAATTTTCTTGAAAAGCGTCTCATTGTATTTTGATTAAGGGGAAGTAGAATAACACAACACTAACGAAAGCGTTGCACTCAACCCAATTAGACCGTATTTCATTCATGAGTTTGAAACGCATGTTTTATTCATATCCAAATCCATTCCCTAACTTTTCAAATGATCAGATTTGTGTATCGATCCACAGCCTGTTCGCAACTAAGTTTTGTGTTGAAGTTCTCCCCGAGGATTAGAATAATCAGTGAGGAGATGAGCATAAAGACACTCTGAAATTTAAAAATCAATAGAAAAATCTGTGAAACGCTTTTTGTAATCAACTCCACCGGGCGAAATGATGCCAAAAACTAAGATAATACTTTGTTGTTGCCGTTGTTCGGGGTGGTAGTCATGGTGACCAACAGTAATTAATACATTGAGAGATTTTCTGCTGGTACTATCATCTTAGCCTAAAGCCCAATATTGGGCCCGTGAAATGAACTGCGGATTTCGTACAAACTTCAAGCGCATCTGATCGATAATATGGCTTATAATTATTTAGGTGTCTATAAACTTAAGTTGTTTGGGGTGATGAAACTAACTGTAATGTTCCGTGTTTCAGAAGTCACGGAACAATTCAAACTGTTCAGGGATACATTGTAGGTTATCACATTCTAGACATTTTAATTCGCGCTTAATTTTCTCTATTCATTAGTTTCATGCAGCATATAGTTTGTTTGTGAAAATTTCCAACCGAGTCATAACCTCCGAGAGGCCAGTGCTGAGATGATCGAGGTGCGATGTCTGGGAAAAGCTCGTAGAGATAGGTTGTGCTATATAGTGCAAATGGAAGATGGAAAAACAGTCTGATTTGCGGCCCTACCCCGGGGGTGGTCGTGTGGGTAGCACGTGTTGTGTCTTACTTTTCTATCTACTTTCATATGGCATTATCGTACAGCTTATTTTAATACGCACAATAAGTTACAACACAATACAAACTCTGTTCGTGACAACGCACCTGTTTTCCGAGTGTTGCTGAAACACAACGCGCGCATCATCACTTATCTGCAAGCAGTCGATTAACTGTCGCAGCAATCCTTTTCAGCTCTACACCGCGCATTATCAACCGCAGGGCTCCATTATCAAGAAGCAGGATCTATCAACCAACCAGACAATCTTCCTGTAAGTCCGTTCCATGTACCTTTCGTTTCATTATTATTAGTATATGTAGTATTTTTCTACTACACACGCTTGCGTTCTACCTCTGTTGGGACCCCTGGTTCGCGATCCCCAGTCGGAGATCGATGGAAACGTGCACTGCTGATGGGATGAGACCCAAACAGATCGAAACAGTTGCTGTCCAGCTGTGTTTCCTAGCTTTTCAGTTCACGTTCCATTTGCTCTATACACAATACGAATTCCCCCTAAGATTTTCACCTGTTTCCACGGCCTGATGTGTACGGGGTTCTATCCAATAGTCATCAATGAGAGCAGGGCGCGAATGTTCTGATATCAAGTGATCCTTCGGTTTCTCTCTCTCTGTATGTGTATTGGTGTGAGGATAAAGATGACCGAATAATTGGACAACCACAGTACTGCCAAAGTTAGTCTTAGCAATCGATTGGTTGATGAGTGAATCTTTCCGACCTCGGTTCCACTTGGATTCCAAAGAACTCATAATTCTTGCAGTTCATGTCCCTTGAACTGACCTTGAACTTGTGAAATAAAACAGAACAAATACAAAAAATACACACACACACAAACGAAGCGAGTACCTTTACTGCTCAACCCAGTAGTGAGTATATCCTCGTTTGCAATGGATAGAGCACGAGAAGCACGACGACACGAGGCTGGATCCAGAGTCGACAATCGTCTGGGTTGACCGGGCACAGCCAGTGATCCGGGTGTGATGGACGGTCGAAATGTGCTCAGCCGTCTAACCTCCATCGAACGACGGGGATTTTGCATCGCTTTCTCACGATCTTCCTGTGATGTGGCGAGTGTTGTTGTTGTTGTTATTATTATTATTTTTGTTCCGTTTTTTAAAGAGCAGTAATACAAGAAAGAAAGGAAACACATTCGTAATCATTAGAGCAACCAATACTTCCGGTACAATTGTGACCAACTAACTGTCTGATTCCAGTCAGGAGTGACTACATGCTTGTTGTAGACAAAACGTGATGTCATTTTAAATGGGCATTGGACGGTGCTATCGGATCTGAAAAAATAAACTAACATTCTACTGGAAATCGTTCTGATGACCAACACAAACAACATTCACTGGACAGAGCTGTTTTGTTCTGATTCGAGGACTTGTCAGTAATGCGTACCACTATTTCCCCGTGTTAGGATTCGAATCGCGAACATTTGGGTTGGAAGTCAATACCCTTATCCCTAAGCTACANCATTGGCACGAAGCATCGATGATGACCTTGGATGTGGGGTTCATTCCTTAGCAGGACGTTAATTCTCCACCATTGAAATGCATTTAAATGTGAATGGGCTAATTCAAACATTCACTGTCTACACTGATTGATCAGTCCATTTGCACAAGGTGTTGAAAATCGATCACGTAACGCAGGGGTAAGGGTTTGAAATCCCGACCCGAAGGTTTGTGTTTCGAATCCTGACCCCGGGGACACAAAACAATTACGCACAGTGCCGACAGGACGAAACAGTTCTGTTCAATCAGACAGCTCTTCGTGTCGATCATCACAACTCTTTCCATCGTTTACAAATGCATCTAACTTCAGTGGGGAAGTAACGCTCTCTCGAGGAGTGAAATCCACACCCAAAACCATCAACAGTGGCTGGTGCCTGTGAAAAAAGCCGAACGGGTTGATTCAAACTATCAACTACTTTATATAACTCACACACACTCCAGAAATAAAAACTCATATGAGCAATGGGGATACTTTAGTGACAGAAGTTGATTTGAATATTATTCATCAAATTCAATGTGATCGGGCGGAACCACATGATCAATCACCAAAAAATGATCTACAGCATCCTGATATCACGTTGAACTGGTAGTATATTTGCCCAGTGATAAGGAGAGTGAGATAGACAGTAGGGAGTAATTTTCTCCTGTCTAGGACTCGTCCACAGCGCGTTCATTCCTCCCTCTCTCCCAACACGGGACCCGGACTTGAACCAAGAACGTTTGGGATTTTGGGCGGGCCATAGGTCAGCACACACAAACCGAGAGGCACAACATGCAGACTGTAAATTCTCATGTGCTACAAAAAGGTCTATTCAATGAATTGTCATCATTATTTCTGGAATTGAACCAAATTTTGTTTAAAATGAAAATATTTGCCACCTAGCCACCTACTGATCATATTAACCAATGAGTAGTATATGCTCACTTTCTCCAATTTCTTCTCGGCCCGATATTCAGAAATGTAGCTCAGAAGTTTCTCAGCCATGAAGAAAAAGTAGACACCGCCCAATGCGACTAGNTTGTACACGGCCATTCGTTCTTTTTCCACAGCGTCCGGATCGTGACTGTGGCCATCTCCGGCCGCAATGGCCTGCGGTTAGTTTGTGCGGGGTAGGGGGTAGGTAGGAATACGTGAGGGGATTCAAATATTCATAAAATTTGAAAGTAATGCGATACTAAAAAGAAGAATAAAGAAGATTATTTTTATCATGGTAAATAGGCCTCAGAAATCGGTTCTTCTACACCTTTCCCATCAAACTTTAGCCAAAACCCGTAGTAATTTAGCCTCAACGCACAAACTTTAGTCACATCGCAGTAGACGAGTCAGATCAAAAACAGGGTATTTATTTTGAAATCAACGGATGTTCCACAACTAGTGATGCACCAAAGCTTGGTTAAGAACTGAGAAGGTGTGGGGGTTGCATACTGCAACACATGTGAATTGGAGAAAGTTTAACCGATGTGCCCGTATTGTCAAATCATTTGACACATCTCTAACATTGTTTTTGTATTCACAAGTGAGCTCTGTTCATCAGAATGGGATACAAAAACCTGCTGAGGATAACAAACCATTGGTAAACGTATACCCTGATAACTATCGTCAGTTTATTAACGAGGCAACGTAAGTTATAATGACCACGGTCGAGGCTAGATTATTACGGGTTGTTGTCTATAGCTTTTTGGGAAACGGTGTTTGTTCGGAACGGGGTGTTTTGTGAGCAGTGTTTATTATCCTTGACCTTTTAACGTATCCATATGTCAAGAACAGAGTTCCCTTTAAGTGGTTATACAAAACGGTAAGCATATACCTTTTGATTCATTTCAGAGCGTATGAATGCAAAACAATGTATCTTTTGAGTTACACTTCAGATTTTCACTCCTACGAGTATCGTGTGTTATAATACAGAAACACTGAAACTGTACTAGATGTGTCAAATGAACATCCGTTGATTTCAGAATATTCCCCTAGTTTTGATCTGACTTGTCTACTGCGGTGTGACTAAAGTTTGTGCGTTGAGGCTAAATGACTACGGATTTCGGGTAAAAGATTGCGGGTTTCGGCTAAAGCATTTTGGTTATTGGCTAAAGCTTACTGGGTAAAGGTGTAGTGTTCTGATCCAGTTATTTGTCTGCATGCACAAACAGCGCCACCGATGCAGTTACTGTCTAAATTTGTTTTTTGTTTTTTTTCAGAACAGTAATGGTTGCCTTCCTGCGTTTGATGTTTACGGGTTATCAAATATTTCAGATCCCAATGGCAAATTGAGAAATTAGTAATTGTATAAATAAGAAATTTGATGGAACCTTGTTATGTCTTGATGTCCAGACAATATAATCGATACGTACGCCTCTTTATCTAGGCCCCAACAACTGGAGAAAGAACACTGCCGAGAAACGGCAGTCAGAGTGTATATTTGATCATGAAACAACAAGCAAAATATATGTGGTCAGTTGGGCGTACGCGAACAGACGTGGTGACGCGCCAATCAGATCGTGACCTTGACACTCAGGTTGATCGACCGGACGACAGCTATTTGATTCACCTAAGTCATCCAATCAGGAGTCGATTCGGGTTGGGCGTCACGAGCGCATTTGTGGTCTGACGCGCGTCGCTGCGTGGCAAGACGGATTTTGTGCGCTCCGTCCTAACAAACCTAATGGTTAAGGATTACGCCACAGGATTGTGCACCAGCATAGTAGAAAACTAAACATCATAAATCGATCAGAGGAGAGCTCTCATCGAAACCATGAAGTATGGAACAATTCGACTGCCTGCGGGCGGTCGTGTACCACTAACCTGCTTCTGGCTAGAGAAGAATGGAGAAAACCAATTGATCACAATGTCACAGTGGACATAGTATACCTCAACTTCTCCATGGCATTTGACCGAGTGAATCACATAATACTTCTGAGGAAACTGCTCACCTATGGAATTCGGAGTTTTGTGCTGAGTTGGATAGAAGGATTTCTTCGACAAGATACCATGGTAGTTTGGGTTTCTGGGTCACGATCGGATCCCATCAGCGTAGCCCGAGGATTTAAACAGGGATCCGTGCTTGGCTTTCAACGTTTTTCTAGTTTTCATAAATGATCTAACGGGCTTTCTGAGGCCACAAACGTAAATTATTCCGGACGACACAAAAATATGGAAAACAGTGACAAAACCAGAGAACTCACTAACACTTTAGAGAACACTTAATACTGTCTATCAATGGTTGATCGAAAACGACATATAATTCAATGCATCAAAGTGTACGGTCGAATCCCTTCACTACAAAACGCGGTTTCCATACTCCCTGGGAGATCAACAATTTCCGCACGTCTCGAATGAAGAGAATCTCGGTGTCATTGTTCAAGACGACCTCAGTTGTTCTTTAAACTGTTCCAGAACGTTGTCCGCCACTGTAAGACGTTGATTTGCTAAAGTGAGTATTTGGCAAATTTGAATGTATGCTGTCCCCAAGTTTGTTATCAGCCCATATTCGATCCCACATGGAGTATACAATCCAAGTTTGGAAGCCATGACTGCAACGTGACTGTAAGATTCTGGAACGTTCACAAAGAATGACAACCAAAATGGTCAAGGGACTGAATTCCGAGACTTATGTGGAATGACTGGAATCACTGGGTTTGTACTCCACACAGTATGACCGAATACGACGATACTTAATCTTGGTGTATAAAATAAATCAGAGCCTCGATCACATCCCTGTCTGTCACTGTTCACCTGTTCGTCCGAAATTCACCTCAGTCGGTGGGAGGAGGACATTCCTTCAATCGAGTGCAACAAAACTGTCGACGAGACTGACGCAGTCATTGATTTGTCCACAGAGTTTGTAGTATTTGAAATTCTCTGTGCCCACGATTGATTCTTTCAAGCACAAACTGGAGGACACATTGTCCAGTGTTAAATTTTGACATCCGTAGCAATAAACTAAACAAAGAAAATTTGTATGACATTCCATATGTCTCTATGAATCACAAAATGGATCCAGCTGTGCGTAAAACCATCCTATGGGATAAGAAAAGCAATTGCTTGTAATTAGTTCCCATTGTAAAAACTTGGACTCTGACTTTTATCAAATACACAGGTTTCTGAGCAATGCCTGAGACAGAGATGAGGTTGACACTGACCACCTGTGGTGATCCGGGCCTACGAGATGACGCATACCCTGGAGCGATACGTAACCGTTTTAGGACAACTGTGATCAATCAAACTTCACGAGTGACACCAGCAAAGCGCGTACGTGTCACAGCTTCTGGACTACATACCATCGGTAGATTGTTCCAGCCAATCAGACACCGTGCGGCCCAGACAGAAGTAGAACGATGCCAAGAATACTGGAACGCAATTGGTAGAAGCCCGGATGATCAATGAGCGTGTTTTGTGCACATTATTTATCTCCTTCATTTCTTCCAAAAAACGAACTACTCCTCATGTGGCCTTTTCCTCGCGTCTCAGTTACGTGGAATGGTGTGTGCAAGCACCAGTGTGCTCCAGTGCCTACGTGATCCAGTTCGTGATTGTTAATATTTGATTCGTATTTCGTGATTCGTATTACTTCGTTCGTATTCCGAGTTCAGTGCGTTCTACAATTACTATACCACCACCCGACCACTGTTTTTGTTTTAGGTGGATTGCGTCACAGGATCAACCAGAGCTGTGAGTTCACTCGAAATAGACTGGCTCAGTTAGCCCGTAAACTGCATAAAAGACCCGATTTGGTGGGAGGCTTTCGATTGGAACTAACAGATAATCAGATGTGTCGGGTCACACACGAGTGTGTGTTGAACAGCAGATGGAGTGAACACCATAGCCACGAAGACCTGCTGTTCAGTAATGGTAACCAGCAACCTAAGCTCTGAGGGACTTGGAGTGACGAACCACATCAGGCGTGGTATTGAACCGGGAAACAGTAAAGCTGCCTACCATCAAATTTGAGTGGCCGTGGTGAGGCTCGAACCTCGAACCATCGGCGTCCAAAGCACGCGGGTGACAGCGACTAAACCACTGCGTCACCGTCACCGCTGAAGACGACCCCGGGAGCAGACATGAATAATCAAATCGGTTCAGCCCACCTTCCATGCGATGGGTTCGGAGTTCAAAACCCGGACGGTGGGACAGTGCATTGCACTAGTGATAAGCTCGACCAAGAGTGAAACTCGAATCTAGTGCCTCCGAGTGTATAGTTGAATGGATGAACTGACTATTTTACTTCAAGTTGAAGCCAGTTAAAATCGAAATTCAATTAGAGTGAAAAAGATTAATTGAAAGATTAGAAGATTATCGCATTTATCAAATGTGGGTTGATGGGTATGAAGTGATTATTGTGCATGATGATGAAGTTAAAAAATACCATCGATCAAATCAACTGATCAATCTGTTCGCCGAAAATTAGTTACCGGCGGCTGCTCATTCAAAGACAACCATCAGACCCTCTTGAACTGTTTAATCAAAATAGTCAAAAACCCAAGACCACCCAAAACCTGCCTGGTGGCCAATAAATAATCACATCCAATAACTTTGCAAAATGACACCGTATCAATTTACTCGAGAATCTGCATTGGAACTCATGATGGTCGGCCGTATCGAATTACCCAATTTCTTTCGGTTCCACACTGTTTTGTGTTATCTGAGTGAATCTCTAAAGTCACATTTGCGATAAACTGTCCTTTGGGAAGAGCACGACAATGCTAGCTGGTCAAGAACTGCGTTCACTTCGGGACGGATAAGGGTGATGATGGTGATCGTGATGAAGACTTGAATAAATCGGATGACGACACGGATGATGATTCGGAAGATGATGATGATGATGATGATGATTCGGATGATGATGATGATTCGGATGATGATGATGATGATGATGATGATGATGATGATTCGGATGATGATGATGATGATGATGATGATGATGATGATGATGATGATGATGATGATGATAATGATGATGATGATTCGGATGATGGTGATGATGATGAACGATCATATAATCAACTCACATGGGGTAACAGGTGAAGCATGGCATCACCCGTCAAAGTTCCCACGGCCAAAGCGACCAAGTATTGAATCACTTGATTGTAGAAAACTTTCTGGACCAGCGGAACAATCCCGACACCGAGAAGACCGACCGCGCTGATAAGGAAGATTGAAATTAGCGATGCTGCCCAAACTGCCGTTTTCAGTGCGTCGGAATATGAACGAGACGGGTAAGGAGGCGAGAAACAGAGTTTTTTATTTAGTTAACATCAGATTGTCATAGGAACAGTAGGGGACAGTGTAATTCGATTTGAAGAATGTCTAAGTTGGTTGTAGTTCTCACCTCAGCGTGTTTTTAGGGCTTTCATTCCCAAGAATCTTTAATTCATTGGTTTTTACCATAACACTACCAAGTGTGTGTGTGTGCCTTTGCCTTAGAAAAATTACATTCCGTCCACTTATCTCAATTCATTTCTGTCTTGTAAGATAATTTGCACATAATGAAAATTATTTCACAAGCAATTTCACGGTAGGATACTTGGAACAATTCAGCCGGTGCCGTTACAACATCCATGCCCGAGTACGTTGACCGATTTATCGATCCATGCATGACCTGATTCACTTCCTTACACCACACCACCCCACCGAAACTTTCATCCTCGTTCGGTAATTCACGCAAAAAGTACTTTTATTCGTCTGTGGAGGAATTAGTTCATTCCGACCGGACAGGGTTTTGATAGACCCGGTCCAGTCGGTGACTGTTGATCGCAGAAGAATTAATCCTGGTAGAATGTGATTGATTAGATTCACTTGAAATTTAACAGGCATAGTCAGCAACTCGGACCCTATGACGAGCCGAGCTGCAACGCGTAGTGTAACCAATCGATTCATCTCATTGTCTGAATCCCTAGGAATATACCGGTTAAGCAACGAAATCAGTGATGAGCGTTACCGCTTGTTTGTCGATCTGTATACAACTGTATGCAACTTTACAAAAAAGCATTTCTATGGTCACCGCCCCTTTCCTGAATGTTGACTGTACATTCAGTGGGGATCTATTCTCATAGTGATCCACTTTACAGTGTAAATGGAAGATGAAAATCGGTTTGAACAGCTGTCCGGTTACTGAGTGGGTAGCATGCTTGCATTCAACCCATAAGGTCCCGGGTTCGATCCCCAGTTTGATCGATGTATTCGTGCACTGCTGATGGGATGAGACCCAACCAGGTCGAATTAGTCGTCCAGTTGTGCTTCCTAGCTTTTCCATTCACGCTTCATTTGCTTTATACACAAGGCGAATTCCCCTTTGAAATTGAACAGACTTACTGAACGAATTCACATGGTAAATCTGAGTGGACAAAGAGATATTTTCACTTAAATGTTCATTAGCTTGTTGAATCCGTTCCACGTGAAGTGGAAAAACCTGATCAATATTAAATTCGTTTTATATTAGACTCGAAAGTATATCAAACTGTTCATAACATCTTGCGTTGGATAGGAGAGTAAAGTGAAGCAGAATCCCTTACGTTTCCGTGTCCTGTTTTTGATCTAACAATCACTGCTTACTCGAGCCGTGTCCATTGCATGTAACCGTAGTAAAAATTGTACAATTGATTGACTTGAACTGACTATCCTTCGGATTTCACCTTCACGCTCAATCCTCAGTTCCTCAATTCAACCATACACTTGTGAAAGCACTAGACTCGAGTTTCGCTCTTATCAAAGCTCATCAGTAGTGTATATCCACCGTCTCACGGTCCGGAATTTGAGCTTCGGACCCATCGCATGAAAGCCTGTGCGTTACCACTGTGCCAACCAGCTCATGTCATGGCTGAACCAAATTCCCAATTGATGTTTTTTCAGGTAATGTTTTCAGTGATAGTCAGTCAGTTCATTTGGCCCGACAGCAACGGAAGGAGACACATAGTTGACTATCTGTGAACTCCAATCGAGAGTCAGGACTTCCATGCAGGTTACGGATTGACTTACCGCGTACCCACCAGGCTCGATTGATAATTCGCATTTAACTCACAATTACTTATGAGTAGTGGTATGGGATAATTGATTGATTTGAACTCACTATCCTTCTGAAATAAGAGCGAAAATGGAGTCTAGTGCTTCCGAGTGTATGTTTGACTGGATGAACTGAGGACCGTTTACGTGAAGGTGAATTTCGAAGGATAGTCAGTTCAAATTAATCAATATGACTTATTCCAAACCACTACTCACAAGTTACGGTGAGTTAAATGCAAATAATTGTACAATCGCTGCAGAAACCGTGGGAACGACCATTGTAGGATAAGTGTTACCCGGAGATGTACGTTTCCATCAAGCAGACAAAATGGATCTAACGGGCTATGAATCACATCTCAGGTCTTAAGTAAGCGAAATGGATAGTCGTTTTTACCAGGAAAATAAGGTCTTCAGTGCTTCTGCAGTCCTCCGGGTTAATGAAACTGCCAGTTTGAAGGACCTCGCTACGGTTGAACTTCTTTTATTACGCACCAGTGTGTGATGACTGTAGGCACCAAAGTCACGAAGACCCGCTGTTCAGTGATGGTAATCGGCAACTTAAACTCCGCGGCCTAAAAAGTGACGAACCACATAAGGCTCCGCTAGCTCAGGCGTGGTATAGAACCGGGCTACAACAAAGCTGCCTATCACCAAAGTTGGTGCCTGTGGATGGGTTCGAACCTCGGATCATTGGGGGTGTCCAGAACGTGCCGGTGACAACGACTAAACCACTGCGCTGCCACCACCAGTCAAGGTCGTTTGTAAGATAAGACATCTGGATCCAGTGGATGTGTTCATTCAAAGTTGAATCCAGTGTTTCTACATGTGTTTCAATACTACTTCAAAGAGTTTTAAATCAAATCAAGTTAAGCCAAAGCATATGCTTTATACATCCCGAGGAATTAATTTTTTCACCAACCACATAAACACAGTGTCTCAACAACAACAACAAAATATGGAAAATATCACAAAGTAGTTTAGAACAGTGAAAACGGACAGCGGTAACATCCCAAAATCAGTCGCATACCATCGTAAGGATCATTAGCCTTTTAGGCCGATTTTCTGCTACCAGATCGTCGTTTGATAGAATTATGACGAAATACGGGGCAATATAGAGCACCTGTCAGCCTTTATCGATTTTTGACGGGGACAGATTGATGAATGAAAAAGGCCCCTCTAAGAGCAGTAAAAAGAGAACCGGGGAAAAAATCTTTTTGGCGAATGCTTTGCATTCCTTGAATTGGTCTGCAACCACCGTATTCTGAATCAGAAATCCGCGTGGTAAAAGACTACAAACCGACAGAAACTTGAGAGATCGGGAAATGAGCTTTTGGTACTTATTGAAAACACCACAGTTAAGAGAATACGGGACCCATAAAGCCAGTGGGGTAAAACGCAACCAAAAACAAAAACGCCCTATGAGATGATTTGGGACAGAAAGCGATTTAAGATGTGAACTATAAAACGTAAGCCTCCTAACCTTCAGAAAAACGCTATTCACGAAGTCAGATCATTTGAGGTTATGGCTGAAAACAACACCAATATATATATATATGACAGTTTTGTAAACAACGGTGTTGATTGTTGTTTTTGTAGCTCGGGTGGTATAATATAATGTTCAGTTGTTCGCCGAGCTTGGCAATTGTATTGCAAACGTTTCATCACCAATCGAGGTGATATTCTCAATGCAGTAACTGGATTGAGTTACTGCATTGAGAATGTTACCTCGATTGGTGATGAAACGTTTACAATACAATTGCCAAGCTCGGCGAACAACTGCACATCATTATATATATATATATATATATATGACAGATCGTTGTCTATCCGTCTGGTCACTGAAGTTAGATAAAGGCGGGCTGACACTTGACACAGAGAAACATTGTGTCATCAATTTTTTGGGTGTTTTTTGCGAGGTGTCTTTGTTGAGACCACTCAACTATTTCTGACATGTTTTCCTGCAGAACGATTTGAAATGATCGGTTGAGGAAAGAGCATTCCAAATGTTATATTGTCTGCATACATCACAAGAAGAGAAGCATTGTTCACAGGTATAGAAAACAAATAGGGATAAAACAACGCCTTGCACTACATCTTGTATGAGGAATGAAGCAGTGAGGATGTACGACCTTTGTAGTGTGTGAATTGTTGACGGTTGGAGAAATAGCTAATCAAAAGTTCCATCGTGGACGTTTGAACATGACCTGAATGGAGGTTATTTAACAAAACTTCGTCACAGAATAACACCGTGATGAACTATATCCAACCATGTGTCAGTGTCGATGCAAAGTAACTAACTAACTAACTAACCACAACAGAGCGTGAAGCAATCTGATTCAGGAACCGAATCATTCTGTTTGATTCTCCTGCTGAACAATGCTCAACCAATCAAATTAAAAATCATGTATAACCCAACATACAGAGGCTATTGTGAATTTGGTTTGAAAATTCAACCGTATTTGATGGGAAAAAATACCTGGTTTTAGGTGGAGGCCTCTGTTGTGGAATCAAATTGACTGACACGTTTGTCATGCATGCCTGTGGCACAGATGATCGGTTGATCGATTGATCCGCTAATTGATTCGATAACTGTTTGAATGCCTGCTTGACGGCATTCATGTGCTAGGTAATGCTTGAGCCGTTTGTTAGTCCACCTTTCTGCCAGCCTACCTACCTACCTACCTATGTAATGTCCACTTCTGCCTGCTCATCGTCCTATGGACGGACGACATGTGTGCCCTCTAAAATAAACATATTGCATCATTTTCGGCGTGCTTATTTACATACTTAAATGAGATACAACAGCTTCTACTTGGTCTTCTTCTCGAAATCTGAAACTGAATGTTTCCTTTCCCATCGAAGAAACCAACCGCTTGGGAGCATCCATACAAGAAAAACGCGTTATCAGAACGTAATTTCTCGGTTGCGCAGTTGTACGGACTTCACTGAACAGCGGTCATGAGTGAGAAATCGATAATTTAAACATTCGACTGTGTACAACTATTTTCGTCCGAGGAAAGTCATGT